TTAAATAGATACTCACTCACTAACTTGGGAGATGTCAATGCAGAGATGACTGAAGTTGAGAAAACTCCAACAGAATTTGTTTCTAGATGTTATGGAATTACACCTAAAGTCACAGACAGAATGTCTGATGTGAGATATGCTGTATGGGCAAAGAAAATGCTGCAAAACACATTACAAATGCCCCAAAGCTAAAATCCCTCCCAACAACAACATAAGCATTTTCCCAGCATGTGAAGCGAGCTCATTTCCAAGTAACTATATGGAAAAATGCTGATATGCCTGACCCCCCACTTATCCTTCCAACAGATTATGGTTGGGAAGTCCCAACAACAATGCCCAAAGATACACCCTGTACCTCTGAAGGAATTCTCCAGCTCATTAAGTGCACATGTGCATCAGAGGGCAATGTATGTAGAACTGGGCGATGTTCATGCTCCAAGGCATCTTCATCATGTACATTGTTCTGTGTTTGCAAGGGGAATGAATGCAATAACCAACATACAAAGACAGTAACTGAACAGGAATTGGAAAAACTGATGAGGATTTATTGAGGGAAATCCTTGATGAAATCTTAATAAAAGAAGATAACTCATAAATTCAAGATATATATAGCACCAAGAAATGACCCTTGTGGAACATCATTATTATTATGTAGGTTACTTTTTACTCATTTCAGATATTCTATATGTGAGAAAGAGATCATAACCAGATGTATTTAGTATTATTTATTGATAATTTTGTAGGAAACACTAATATCAATTTGATATTTTCACAGAATGAGACATTTCATAAATTGTAAGGTTGGCGGCCATCTTGAATTTTTTTTTATTTTTGTCAAGAAACATTTCTGGAACCTAACATATTGGTATACATCATATTAAAACTCTATTATAGAAAAAACAGCAAGATATGTTTATGTGTATGCTAGTTTTCTGCTCTAATATGCTGGCTAAAATACATAAAACGTGTGAAAATTCAAAATGGCCGCCAAAAAAATTCCTCAAGGATGCCCACTGGGCATCCGACAGTTTCTGAATATGGATATCATGTTTAAGCAGAAAATGCAAAAAAAGTTCATATAATAAGCATTTCCACCTCTATTGGCTCTACATCCAGACTATATATCATGTGAGCCTTGAATTAAGTTACTGTGCACCAGACTCACCTTGAATGTAGCTACTGTGCACCAGACTCACCTTGAATTAAGTTACTGTGCACCAGACTCACCTTGAATTAAGATACTGTGCACCAGACTCACCTTGAATTAAGATACTGTGCACCAGACTCACCTTGAATTAAGATACTGTGCACCAGACTCACCTTGAATGTAGTTATTGTGCACAAGACTCACCTTAAATGATTCCTGTTCAACAATAAGTGTGAAATCAAAGAGCAGGTTAGAATCCCGGAACTCCTGCAGGCGGCTGACAAGCTTAAGCCCGTAGTCATAGGTGATGCACTCTTCAGAAGCTGTTCCATCAGACTTAGACGCCATCTATAATTGTCAAAATATCCCAACTTAACAGAAATACATTGTACGAGGGGTGATCCAAAAGTCTTGGACGCCCTGCTCTAATTTTGTTAGTTTTTGATAAAATTACTTTAAACTTTCCAATGATAAAGACCAACAACCTAACTACTTTGTGTGTTAATTTCATGGAGAAATTATATATTTGATGTAGTTTTCTAGATAGTTTTTAATATAGGCACCCTGCCACCCGGAACGGTATTCACACATGACAACTTTCAGCCCTAAATGTTCCCGCCATTTCACTTGTTTCGAAAGTCTTGACCACTATCTTTCTTTGAATTTTGAATGTTAAACCATCTTAGTTTACTTCCTTTGTTATTAAGCAATCAATTAATTGTGTTTTGATTATCATGTCATATATGACAATGGCTGTATATGTTAAATTCTAAGAAAATGACATCAGACAAGCAACCCTCATTCTGGTATCATTTTTGCTCCAAGATGGTTGCTGAAATGGAGAACATGAAAGAAATCAAAGTGGAACAAAGTATACTACGAGATATTTTCACTTTTATTGACCATGAACAGCTACCATATGCACCATACAGTCTTATGGCTCTGTGTGATTTTCTTCCTTTTCTCCAAGTTGAAAGAAGGGTTGAAAGAAAACGTTTTTTACTCATTGGATGAGGTTTAGAGTGGCACCCTAGCAGCATTTGTATCACATAAGCAATGGCGGTTTCATAAATGTCTTCCATTCTTCGGTAAAGTGGTATGAAAAATGTGTTCAAATTCATGGAAAATATGTTGAAAAGTAGGTAAGATGATGATGGCAGATGACACTCAGATTGAAAATTGGAAATTCTCTCATATCATGACTGGTGTTTGGTTGTGCACCTGCACCTAAAGTGTTTGCCATATTATAACAGTTGTGGTGTGATTTGCTTTTTTCAAATACCGTTCCGGGTGGCCGCGACCCGGTATTAAAAACTATTTAGAAAAGTAGCTAAAATATATTATTTTCTGTTGAAACTTGTACACAAAATTGTTAAGATGTTGATCTTTATTATCTGAAAGTTTCATGTAATTATATTAGAAAATAGCAAAGTTAGAGCGGGGCGTCCAAGACTTCTGGATCACCCCTCGTAATTGTCAATATTCTGGCATGTTTCTTCTCAAATTTAATGGTTTGATGGTGATGTCAAATGAAGCACACTGTACCTTACATGACCCTGTCATGTACGAATTCTGATTGATTGAATCATTGGATTGATTTTTCGCTCTAAACTTAAGTGTAAAAATCATGAATTACCCATGAATCACCAATTCATTATTGTCAACAATGTCATAATCATCAATGTTATCAATGATGCCAGCAAATCTAATGGCTATTTGCTTTCAAATTGGATTATAGAATTGCTCAGATTGCTCTGCATCTGCCTCAAAGACATACCGGTCATGAATAGATGATACAGTACACCATCATCGGGAAAGTCAATAACCAGGTAGTTCCTCACCTTGTCACGTTTCATTCAGTGAATAAATTTTGAAGTTTTCGACCAATCAGATCACACAATGCATACGAGACGCATGCGCAATAGTCATGAAATGGAAATTTCATATTCATAACCTGGTGAATCAGACAATAGGGGGACTTCCCATAGCCGCGAAGATAAAGTAAGGAGCTCCGATAAAAATCTAAAACTCCAGATATGGTCGTTATTTTTTTATGATGGGTCTCGGCATGGGCTGGTCTCAGGTTAGTTCAACGTCGTTAAACTCAATAACGGCGTTCTTTATTATTAGGAATTTTCTTGGGGCCATTATTGAGTTTAACCTCCTTACTATTCTTTCCTTTGATGCAAGTTCTGAATCCATCGAAACCATTTTTTCCGCGATAACGTGCAACTGATACTTGACAATAATATAAAAACACATAACATCAAGCGATTTAACACAATATTATTGTGTTAAATGTTCATTTATACGAGTAAAATGAGGCTACACTTACCAATCTCTAAAGTGACATTTATGCATGTCCTTCATTGTGTCTGTTCGTCTGAGTGTCCCGGATCGTAAAATTGAACTACCAGCGAGACGAAATTGTTGTCAAATAGATTGATAATTATTATCGCGATTACTCGGGATAAAAAGATCAATTTTGAGGATAACAGGTATCTTTGATTAATTTATATAGCGCGTATATACACGCAAAATAGTTATTAATTGCAAACCAACTGTTCGTTAATGCAGTGCCGTGATGACGGTTAATTCCTGAAACGATTTGCAATTTCGATGTTACCGAAAGTGACCGACATTTTCGTCATATTCCAAACCTGTCTCCAATATTTTCGTAATTATGCATCAATAGGGTCTAAGGGGGATACGGGACGGGGTGTATGTGTTTATAAGGTATGTATGCATGCTTGAATCACATTCTTTGTGTAATATTGCCATGTTTTCAGGGTTCAATTAGTTCCGCTTGTCGAAACCTGCTGAACGATTAAATTAACGCATCAAAGGCAAAATGGTCATGGAGGTTAGACCTAGCCGGGCCATAACACATGTCAGATAAGAAACGAGGCCCGGGCTAGGTCTAATGTTGTTGGACTAGTCTCAGGTCAGATTCTCAATTTATAGAAAAATAACATGCATCAAATGCACTTCTGGGGTAGTGGCAAATCTCAAATATATAAGTCCCAGAGGTACATTTATCATAATGGACCTAATTTGAAGTTGACCAAATGTGCACTGCAGCGAAAAATAAAAGAAGAGAGATTTGGAATCAACCAACTCATAAGCGGTCATACCCAACTCAATAGCCACCAAGCCAAAATAAACCCAAGTACAACAAACCTCTGTGAACTCTGTAATAAACCAGAAACTGTGGACCACTACATAAGCTCTTGTAAACTCTTCGAAACTGAAAGACTAGAGCTCTACTCAAAAGTAGATAGGATACTCCTCGGGGAAAACACAAATCCTCCCCTTGATCTACGCACCCTGTGCGGACTAAACACGAACCTGTCTGAATCGTCTAACAGGAATTTATATAATGCCTTTTGTAGTTACATAAGGCAAACCAGGAGATTCTAATGAGCACATTATAAAACTGTATATAATAGTATAAGTGATTTTAGACTTTATGGAATTAAAAGCACAAGAGAGAAGCACAAGTGTAAGCACAGGTGTAAAACAAGCAACACGAGACCATTTAGCGGCATTATAGCGCATAAAAGGATACAAACAAACAAACAGATTTTCAACAACTGTAACAATGTTTACACGATGCGACACATCTGCTATGTTGAGATATATGTATACATACCTTTGACATAAAATTTAATCACATCCAAAGTCTATTCGCAGTTAAATTGGTAATTATATTAAAATATTTGAAAAATATTACAGTTTTTTTCAACCCGGAAGTAACTCTCTAGAATTGGTCACCACAAATTATTTTGTAGAAGCAGCTAGAGTTTATTTCTTTCAAACGCTGCCATTCAATATCTGTTGGCCAATAATAAGAGGAAAGTGTACCGGCAGAGTCTTGGTTTGCGATAAGAAATATATATTATGGAAGTGCATATTTACAATAAGGGAATACACGAATTGTGTATTGAATATGCAAAATGACAGGTGTCCAGGATCGAAAGTGAAAGTGACACATATTTGCAACTGGAAATTCCCAAAATTTGAGGTTTGTTTATGAGGTTTTGAGTTATCTACATTAAGTTTTGGTACCTCCGATATGAATTTAGCTCAAAACGGTATTATGAAGTGCCTGGATCCCGAAAACAAAGAATAGATTAGGCCTAGAGAAGATGTCTAATAAGCGAGATAAATTTTTGAATACAGAATACAATCTTTGTGAATGTCAGACGGTCAGATATCAGTCTGTTGGATCTGAGACTAACATATGATGGTCTCAGGTTGGATACATAATGTACAATAAAATATCGAAATAGAAATACATCTAACAGACTAGTTATTAGTATTACCTTCTTCTACAGTCTCAATCATGTGAAGTAATTGGCTCGAGTACATGTAATGCCCTAGTCACATTTGCTTCGATACGGGTGATTCATTAGATAGCTGTATCCTTCGTCTAAATAAATTCAGACCGAATATGAATATTATATTCGGTCTGTAGGATACATACTAGGCGATACATTGGCTGGCGCCTGGTTGATCAAGTATATTTGTTCAAAACTCTATTTTTGACTAAATACTCAATCGGTTTGGTGCTGGTGAATTAAATCACAGCAAATGTGACTCAGGCAAGAGCTACTACCGTCCGTCCGTCCGGGTAATAACTCAAATACCGTTGGCCCGATTTTGTATTTTGTACACATATACAGGCCTGTCAACTGTCCCGCAATTTGCGTATTTGTCACGCATTTGCTGAAGAATTTGAAGTCACGCCAGTTTTTTTTGCGTGACAGAAAATGTCACGCAAATACGCATTTTACCTGGTAATTGTCACGCAAAAATATTTCTGTAGAATTTTTTTCGAAATATGTTTATGATACGGTAAAAATACGAACGTCGGAAAAAAAACCGAACGCAATTTGTTCGGATTTGTCACGCGAATCCCGTATATGTCACGCATGTTCATTGGAAATTTTCGTACCTCCCCCCCCCCCCCCCCCCCCCCCCCCCCCCCCCCCCCGTTGACGACATCGCGAGCGTAGCGAGCGCGAAAAATTTGAGGTGATCAAAGTTTGGCAAAGGTGCTCAAACTTTGGCCAAAGGTGTTTAAAAGTTGGCCAAAGGTGTTCAAAATTTGGACAAAAGTGTTCAGATTTGGACTTAGGTGTCCAACATTTTGAAGTCACTCATATTAGGTGGTCCCAAGTTGACAGCCCTGCATATACCCTATGGGGATAGAAGTTCTGCTCGAAAGCTGATTTTCAAAATGGCCGCTCATTTAAAAATGGCGGCCATTTTAGTGCCGAATTTACAGTAATTTAGGTGCAATATGTAAAACTGTAATTGCAATATGTTTTAGATGTAAAAAAATTATAGAGGACATTAATAAAGCTAGAAATGTAGATATTAAAGAAGCACATGGTAGCCATCTTGAAAAATGGCGGCCTTTACTCGTTGTTTTACGATTTTTGCTGTAACTCGAAAAGTAGTGGAGCGATTTTGTTCATATTTGGTATTTGAACTATAAACATTGCACACTGTCTAAAGACACTTTTGCTAGAAGGTGGCCATTTTGAAAAATGGCCGCCATTTTGAAAAATGGCCACCATTTTAACGTATTTTACTATAATTCGAAAAGTAGTGGAGCGATTTTGTTCATATTTGGTATGTGACTACTATAAGCATGACACACTGTCCTATGACACTTTTGGTAGAAGGCGGCCATTTTGAAAAAAATTTTGAAAAATGGCCGCCATTTTAACGTATTTTACTATAATTCGAAAAGTATAGTGAAGCGATTTTGTTCATATTTAGTATGTGAATACTATAAGCATGGCACACTGTGTAATGTCACTTTTGGTAGAAGGCGGCCATTTTTCAAAATGGCCACCATTTTAACATATTTTACTATAACTCGAAAAGTAGTGGAGCGATTTTGTTCATATTTGGTATGTGAATACTATAAGCATGACACACTGTCCTATGACACTTTTGAAAGAAGGCGGCCATTTTGAAAAAAAATTTGAAAAATGGCCACCATTTAAACGTATTTTACTATAACTCGAAAAGTAGTGAAGCGATTTTGTTCATATTTGGTATGTTAATACTGTAAGCATAGCACACTGTCTAATGACACTTTTGGTAGAAGGCGGTCATTTTTCAAAACGGCCACCATTTTAACATATTTTACTTTAACTCGAAAAGTAGTGGAGCGATTTTGTTTATATTTGGTTTGTAAATACAAGAAGCACGGCACACTGTCTTATGGCACTTTTGGTAGAAGGTGGCCATTTTGAAAAATAGCCGCCATTTTAACGTTTTTTACTATAACTTGAAAAGTAGTGGAGCGGTTTTGTTCATATTTGGTATATGAATACTATAAGCATGGCACATGGTCTTATGACACTTTTGGTAGAAGGCTGCCATTTTGAAAAATGGCTGCCATTTTTGCTATATACAGGGTGTCAAAAAACAACGGCACCCCCCTCTACAGCAAAAAGTACTTAATGTTACATGGTGTGTCATATCTCGAGCTTTTAAAGACAATTTAATTCTGGAGTTACCTGAGAAATTTCAGCTTTTTATCATATAATTTTACAGATTTACAGCTGATTCTTAGTAGTTGGTATGACCACCAGTTGCTACTCAAACAGCAGCTTATCTGGACGGATATGATTTCAATGAAAATTCAGATAAAGGTGTAGCATTGCATAATCCTCTAAGCACTTTCCTCAAATTCTTCAGAAATACATCCCCACTGTATCTTTTTTCAAGAGGCTCTTCATCCATCAGTTCCTATACCCTGTTTTTCAGAACTGAACCCATATGTTCAGTGCAGTTGAAATCTGGGCTAATTCTTTCATATTCCACTATCTGAAGATTTGACCTTCAACCAGTAACAGAGCAGCAAACAAAGTACCGAAAGTAGCAAACTTAGAAACAATGTAGCTTTTTTAATATAAAGTTTTATTAAATGAAATTTGAGGAGTAATTCCAGAATTGAATTATCTTTCAAATGAGGTATGACACGACATGGAACATTCAGGACATTTTGCTGTAGAGGGGGGTGCCGTTGTTTTTTGACACCCTGTACTTTGTTTGTAAAAATGCCATCCATGGCTGTTCGATGGGATTCGCTACGCTTTGGCGTTGCCGTTGTTCTGGTTATTGGAGTCACTGCACACAAGTACATGGATATAATATTAAAGTACAGTATACAGTGTACATGTATTATAATTAAGAAATATAGACCAAAGAGCAGGGTTTCTAGTTTCGAATAACACCCAGCTGGTCTCGGCACAAACGTTTTCTGTACCCCGAACGACCGAAGGGAGTGAGGGGTTCGAAAGCTTTTGTGCCGAGACCAGCGGCGTGTTATTCGAAACTAGTAACCCTGCTCTGAGGTCTATATTACGATTCGAACATGAAAATTCACCAAATTGTTTCGAATATTCATCATGGTCCGCCATTACTACGACCCACCGTTATGACGTCACACATTACACGTATTAACTGGGTTATTAATCTCGAATATAACCCAGCTGAAGCATTGACTTTGATTACAGTTTATAGAAGGCGTGAATACAGTCATGTTCGAATGATGTATATAAGTTTGTATTATACATTTCAGATCCCGTCATGGCAAGGGTTCTCATAACAGGTGCATCTGGACTCCTTGGGCGGGCTATATTCCGTGAATTCACTGCATTGCAATCCTGGGAAACTCTGGGACTTGCATTTTCAAGATGTGGCGCAAACTTAAAGAAAGTTGACCTGACTAAAGAAGCTGAAGTTGTTGCTGTGATACAAGACTTCAAGGTACAGTGGTGAAAAGAGAAAATACATGCAAGTGTACATACATGTACTCTACATAATCAAAAGTTATACATGTGCATGTATATGTAATTACTCTGCATAGCAAGTTGCTACTACAGCTCAGCCGTGTTGACTTAAGACTTGATGGCTCAATTAAATGGTAGAGCATCATTCTCTGAACTTGAAGGTCCTGGGTTCGGTTCCCATATGGGGCATTGAATTTTACCTTATTTCACTTCTTGCTTAATTGTTTTGCTACAGCTCCTCGGAGGTGCCTCTGGTCGGGGATGGTGTAATGACCCTGGATAACAAGTCGCAACTACATGTACAGGCCCGAAGCCAGGGGGGTTCGCCCTGGCCAAAAATTCGTTCAAAATCATGCAGTTTTTCACCATTTTGAGCACTACTCAAGTGATTTTAGCCATATTTGAACCAACATTGTCAAATGTGAACCCCCCTGGAAATTTTTGAAAACTGAATCCCCCTTGGCAAATCCTGGCTACGGGCCTGATGTACATGTATATACGTATACATGTATGTACAGCTCAGGTGTTTTTGACTTTACATGAAGTCTTGATAGCGTAGTGGTGGTGGTTGATGCAGACTCTGAACTTGAAAGTCCTGGGTTTGATTCTGGTGTGGGGCAATGAATTTAGCACATTCCCTTTCAGGTCAGTTTCTGGCTTAATTGTTACACTACACACCAGTCCGAGTTGTCTTGGGTCCGAGATGTCTTGGGTCCAAGTTGTCCAGGGTCCGAGTTGTCCTGGAAACCTACATTTATATGCATGTTCTTCCCAATTGCAGCCTAATGTCATCATCCACAGTGCAGCTGAGAGGCGTCCTGATGTTGTTGAGAAGCAAGAAGACAAGACTAAAGCTCTTAATGTTACAGCAACACAAACTATATGCCGAGAAGCAGGTATACATGTACATGTATTCTACTGTAACTTGAATTATTGAATAAATGGAATTGTTCTTCATGCAGGCCCATAGCCAGGGGGGTTCGGAGGGGTTTGGAGGGTTCTGACAGGTCGAAGGTGTAGATCGCATGTCGCAGGGATTTCATATTCCATATGAGTTACCATATCAACAAATTAAGGGACTTAGTTACCACTCTCTAATCCTCTTTGTACTCAGGTGTTGACATTTTGTTATGTGCAAGTATTGTAGGCCTGTAGCAGCTTTTGCCAAGGGGGTTCACTTTCCAAAAAATCAAGGGGGTTCAAAATTAATAAGACCAAAATCACTTGAGAGTACTCTGACTGGTGAAAAACTGCATGATTTTGAAAGAAGTTTTGGACAAAGGGTAGTTTGCTTGAATCCCCCCAACCCACCCTGGCTACGGGCCTGGCATGTCTTGCAAATTCCCTGTGTTGAACATATGCAAATGTAAAAATTAAGATTGATTTCATTTTAGCCAAAGTTGGGGCATTTGTGATGTACTTGAGTACAGACTATGTATTTGATGGTACTTCACCCCCTCACAAGGTAACTGATGAGCCCAACCCCCTAAATAAATACGGCATCAGCAAACTTGAAGGAGAGAAAACTGTAAGAGAAGCAAGTGCAGGTACAGCTAACACATACACTGTACATATTATAGTGACTACATAGTACATGTACATGTAATGTACTCATTTTAGGTATTAAACTTTGTTTCATTCATCTATATGTACATTGTTGAGATACAAATTAATGTTTCGAAAATCAGTCAGTCACTGTTTTTTTTAAAAAGAATTTCAACCAACAATTTTTATTTTATGCTTTACTACCAAGCTTTTTAGTGTGAAATTGTGTGGATTTTGGTTGATAGGGATTAAAAATTGATGTTTATATCACCTCAAACCAGCGGTATGGTGTGGCTCAGTGTTAGACAGCAAGAGTTTAATCTCTGTATCATTGCTTGCTGAGTCATACCATGAAGGTGTTGTTTCCAAACCTTTGCATGACCGCGCAGCGGGAATCCAAAGTTTAGGAAACAACGCCTGAGTGGTATGAAGCAGCTACAATGCATTGAGTCTCGGGCTTAAATTATTTTCACACATTGCAAATTTTTTTTATACAAAATCATCTAAGAGGAACGAAATCACTAAAAGAACACATTTTTAATAATTTTTTTGCAAGGGTCAAGTTGGCAAGTCATCAAATCCAATGTGAAAAATCCATTCATCACCATGACAACTGTTGAACTAGTGACCTTGCATTTGTTATTGATATTTCACACACTGTTCATTATGTGAATACTCTGTTCGGATTGGTTGGAATCAGACACACCTTGCCTAACTATGTGTGAATTAGTAGTTGATCATTACTATATTTGTGAGTGTTTATCAGTTGATATAATCAATTGATTGACCAATATGAGCTATGCAAACACTCACTGTCTGTCCTATTGTATGTTACACATTCTAATATTGTATTACCATGGTTTCCAGATAACATTGTGCTGAGGGTGCCTATACTCTATGGTACAATTGAGAGTCTCTCTGAGAGTGCTGTCACTATATTGTTCAAGCAAGTCAGGGATACATCGACACCATGTAAGATGGATGACCTCTTACGTAGATTCCCGACACACTGTGATGATGTAGCATTTGTCATCAGACAGCTAGCTGAAAAAAGAATGCAGGTAATGTATACATGTGCATGAAGAAATGACAAAAAATCACTTAATATACTGTAGCAAGATATATCTTTTTCTATTTTTTAACCCATTTGATTTGACATTATGAGACAGGGTAATGTATACATGAGGAAACCTCTAAAATCACTTAATATTTTCTTTTTAATATTTTTTATCCCATTTGATTTAAGGAAGAAAGATAGAGATTCTATGATTCATGGCACAATATATGACCAAAAATTTTATTCTGTTCATTGTTAAAAGACAAAATTGCTTAGTGATTGAGGTCTTTGGCAATGGCCAGAATAAAATCTGTGGTCATATATTTTCCATAAATCATAGAATCGAGGCCTTGGTTATGATTCTAATATGATAAATGAACCAGAAATGCAACTTTTTAAATACGTGGTCATATATGCCCCAATATAGACCCCAAAATCAATTGTTCTAGTTAATGTGATGTCACATATTGTATTAGAATTAAGGAATAAAGACCGAGATTTTATGATTCATGGCACAATATATGACCAAAAATTTTATTCTGTTCATTGTTAAAAGAACAAAATCGAGTAGCAATTGAGGTCTTTTGCAATGGCAAGAATGAAATTTGAGGTCATATATTTGCCATAAATTATAAAATTTGGACTACTCTCTTCAAAGGAATATCCTTGTTTTACTGATGAGTCAATCCACCATATTTAATAGCAACCAAAATTCCCAAATTTGCCCAATCCACCAAATTAAATAGTGCCAAATTAAAGCGATTTACTGTATGTCACAAATGCTTTTTGTCATATCTTCATAGAATTTTCTAATCATAAATAAATCAAAGCATATATGTATTTCAGGACCCCAGCTTAACCGGAGTTTTCCATTGGAGTGGTGATGAAAATATGACTAAATATGACATGTCACTAGTAATGGGCGAAATCTTTGGAATATCAACCAATCACATCGAAGCTGACAAAAATCCACCTAAAGGTGCCCCACGGCCAGAAAATGCCCAGCTTGATCCCTCTAGATTGGAACACTTGGGAATTGGAAAGAGAACAGCATTTAGAAATGGAATAAAAGCTGCATTGGAGCCCTTTCTTATATAAGTATAGGGACTCTTCAGGGGCCAACAGAGTATTTAAGGTTGGGAGTAATACAAGACTATGCACTGCATATATAATTGCAGGAAACACAGTGGGTTTAACATGTAAAGCTTTTCAGCTTTAACTACATTAACAGAGAAAATATTAAGTTATTCAACACCAAACTTTGAATTGCTTCAAAAGACCATTAAATCATGGAACCTATTGTTTTTGGTGTCATTTGTACGTCGAATGAGAAAATGAAGAATTTCACTGAAATATGTACCGGCAAAATTTACCAAAAATCTATTGGAAATGAAAATGCTACATACTTGTTCATACTGTATTTACATGTAATGCTTAGTGAGAAAATGGAGAATTTCTCTGAAATATGTCAGGGCAAAATTTCCAAAAATCTCTTGGAAATGAACATACTCCATACTTGTTTATACTGTATTTACATAATGAGAAAATGAGAATTTCACTGAAATATGTCAAGGCAAAATTCAGACTACATTGATGGATCTGTACGCTTTTGCACTGCAATAATTAAGATAGGTAACATTTGTATAATTTAAGGGAATATACATATGATATTTTATTTCATTTCATCAGGTTTTAATAGCCTTTTGGCTTACTACAATCTTGTTGCTAAGGAATGTCTCAGCATAACAACATTTTCAGATGTACAAAATAATATATAAATAATAAACATATTTATATATACACTGAAAACTGATATGTGAATAAATCTTTTTACCAAAAATGAAAAGTATCATGAATTCTACACTAATTCAATTAACGTCAGTTCCAACTACCTTAGGTTAAAACGATAAACAATATAGTTCTAAAATCCTTATATTAACCACCATTCTTCGAGCGTAGTTACTGTTCAATTAGATACAAAAAACTATCACAAAGCGATTCGGACACTGATGATACATCTCCAAACTCTGCTCACAACTCTGTCAAAAGATGGCGTCCAATTCAATCAGTTGTTTGTAATCATCTACAAGTATGCTACTTAAAAATCTCAAACAATAGATTGCACATTTCCAAGATATTCTCGGCATCAAGCTTTTTATATAAGAACAGAATAACAGTATCTATATGAAGATTGTCTAAGAGTACCTGTATATGTGAGCACCTTTGTAACACCTTGTAACACCTTGAAATGTGAACACCTTGAAATGTGAGCACCTTGAAATGCGAACACCTTGAAATGCATACACCTTTTTGGTGCCTCATTTTACTCAATATATTGTCAGTCAACCTTACAAAAGAACTCACTATTTCACTTAAAGATTCAATACACTGAAACATTAACATGTACAATGTATTATTTTATTGTGAACACCTCTGAAATATCAGCACCTTTTGAAATGTTACTTGGGGGACTTAATAGTGCTTAAAGGCTAGACCAAACACAATTAATGTACAGTAGAACCTGTGTAAGTGGAACAGACTTGGGACCACAAAAAAGTGTTCCAATTGGGAGGTGTTCCATTTACAGAGGTTCATAACATGGAGTAGATAGGCCATGGGACTTTAAAATACTGTTCCTTTTGTGAGGTGTTCCACTAACAGAGGTGTTCCACTTACACAGGTTCTACCTGTATTGTATTTAACAGTTTCTATTTATATGGATTCATTATGCAAATTAAAATGTTATCCTATAGCAAGGAATCATATATTCAATTGAACATCATATTTGCTACTTTGTTCAGAAATTTTGAATCCAGAAAATATGAATACTTGTTCATGTGAACACAAAGCTGAAGCGGTGCTCACTTTCTACAGGTTCTAATAAATTATATGCAGATACATGATGAGTAAAATGCACATTGGACAGTATCTTCTCTACATGCATTGTTATACTGCACAAATGAAGTACTAAGGGGAGGCATCAAAAGTTCAATGTCTGATAGGAAACTAAATAAATCTAGTTTTGAGTTGGACCCCCCCCCCCTCCCCCTCAAAACTATATACAATGAAAGTTGATCGCGGACTTTCACATGTTTTTTCGACTCAATTTGTACTTTCATGGGGGCAGCACTATAACTTATTCATGATTCTTTAAACATATGCCAACAACAATAGGCATAGTATTCCATGTTGCATGCATATTTGTGAAGAAGGCATCTGGTAAAGTCTTTATTTTTAAACCATTCCAAGGCATTTCGAGTCGAAATTCCCAAAAATTCAAATGTTGAAATTTGTCGGATAGCAAACTGAAATGGCTTTGACCCCCTCCCCCCCAAACTAGATTTATTTAGTTTTCTATCAGACATTGATCTTTTGATGCCTCCCCTAAGTACAGACAATGATTGGGTAATATAGTCAGGGTTTACTGTACATACGATAACATATACAACTGCAAAACATATAAAGCCCAACATACACCAATGGGGCACTTCCATAGACTTAACTTTACGTGGGACCTCGTATGACTTTATGGGATGTTGCCCCAAAGTCTCCTTGGGACTCAATGGGACCTCATCAGACTTTGCCCCATTTTGTCCCATCTAGTCACATGGGACTCTGTTTGACAAGATGGGGCAAAGTCCCACGAAGCTCCATCAAAATTTTATATGTTCATTCTTTCCATGGGGCATCGTGGGACTTTTGATCATGTGACGTGTCAGATGACTTGGAATCAAAATGGCCACGGCAAGCTAAACTAAATTCCATCATTTCTGTCGGACTCGTGGGGTATGGTTGGCATGGGGCAAAGTAAAAGAGGTCTCATGGGACTTAATGGGATTTGATGGGGCAAGTTGGGATTTGATTGGGCAAGATGGGACTCGATGGGGCAAGTGGGATTTTACCCCATTGGTGTTTATTGGGTTTAACTGTACACTGCCCTATAAATCTGTTTATCTTTGAATTTTGACAGGGGAGTTGGTAATAACCTTTTAGAGGGTACATGCAGGGTGTCGAGGTAGTAAACCTAAATCTCTTTAAATTAGAGTATTTGTATCTTTAGTTTTTAGATACCCTGTACTGTAGATATATAATGATGTTGTATCCTTGTTGTCAGTAATAACCAAGCAAAACATAACAATCACTTTATACGTCACTTTATGTATAGTATATATAGGCCCCATTAATATCATGACTCCTGTCATTGGGGACAGTTAGGCCCCGAAGAATTAATTGGTTGTTTAGCAGTAAATTTTAGGCTAATCTAAAAAACTCTCTCGTAGATTTGTTATCTGACTGTTTTAGGTGGAATTCATTTAGATGTCATTTGCAGTTCAAGAGTAAAATAAAAACCAAAGAGTAACTTGAATTTTCTACTAAACATGCAATTAACTTATGTTGCCTTATATTACATACCGTTCCTGTATAACAGAAACAAGTACCGGTATATAATTCGCATTAGCCTTTTTATAAATCAATACTTCGACTTAAACGCTATTAATTGGTCTCGGAGATTGACCATGTCAGAATTATTCTTCTGCAAAATTAAACCATTTGTACTAATGTACTAATATGTAACAGTCAAATGCGTGAATGACAGTTTAGAATAATCATCAAGCATTATTCAATTTATTTGTTTTTGTTTTTTATTTTTTCTAGTGTTCAAAACAAATCTCAATAAACTGATTTACAGTTAAAAAACTTGACCAATTATGTAGGCCTATAGTGAAAGGGGACAAACCCGGGGGACAAAGGGCCATTTTTATTTGAGTAAACTGATTTCAACATATTATGCTTTTAACAGGATACTATAAGCAATTGACTTTATCCTATTAAGGGTTAATGGGTGTGCCATATATGTTAGGACACAAATCAATTATATTCATTTTTATGTTTTGAGTAGCAGCGGGAAATAATTATATTCTATATTGTAGGTCATTACAATGATACATCTTAGTCTACAATATCGTTTTTGATCCATGATCCTTGATCGTCTGACACACCACAAGAAGGCGAATTCTTTACACAAACACCTTGTAACAAGAATTGAACGTGGAGAGAAATTCAGTATAGGCCTATTTAATTCAGGTTCATCAACTCTAATGGCTGTCTTACACAGTAGAAAGGCACACGAACGCATGCGCATGAGATTACTTCCATATTTTTGCCTGAATATTCCAAATTCTTATTTTTATTAATAGTAGAGTATTGTACCAGATCCTTCCATGTTTGTTTTGTAAATTGGAATAACTTGCCGACTGCTTTGAGCATTGTGATTGGTCAATTATCAGGTATTTTGAGTCACAGCGGTAACAAACTGCTCGAAACTGTTCCATGCGATTTCAAAGTTGTACAAATCCACGTCCTTTAGTTTCGGTATATTGCACAATTTGTTTCATGGACTTTCTTAGTTGTACAAATGGTTCCATTACCTCTACAGGGCGTCCACAAAAAAAGTATACCCAACTTCAAAACCAAATTACTAGAATCCTGAACAATCTTTTTAAAATCCAAAGGCTACAGCAAAACGCCTTATTTGTCCTCCATCAAATGGTACCTAGATCATTATGTAACTGTCACGTATGACTGAGCAATCATGACCATTCTGATAGGTGGTAAATTTAGCACTGTGCCAAGTTATCTTCCTGTGTGTCAATCGATGTGTAATTGGCTTAGTATTCTTTTTCTGTTACATTATGTTAGATGACAGGACTTTCATAATGAACTGGACTGGTGGCTGAGTAGCTCTCTTATGAAAAAACGATTTGGCAAAAAGCTTACTTTCTCTAAAATAGGCCTGCAAACATGGTTCAACTGACACCTGAGCAGTAGAGCCAACGAAAAGCGAGTCCAGTGTACCGTTTAAGAATCCCTATTCTTACATTTGAAAATGGATTCTAGCAATACTGTCCAACATGAATCTACTTGTTGAGACTCAATCAACTTGAGTATTTCTGAGAAAATGAGGATTTCAGCAAGGGTGTATTGACTTCAATGGGGGATATTATTGACTTGAAGGCTGAATATCATCAAGTAGAAGTTTCATTGCTGTTCAAGAGGCTCTTGGGATCCAATTTCCCCGAGGGAGGTAGAAATAAAAGTTATGGAAAATTATGCAAAAAGGTTGATTATGAAGAACATGGAACAAGTTTGAATTTGAACATCAATAATGTTTTGAACACAAAAAAACATTCATTGTGTCAATTCTACTTGAATGCTAACTTGGCACAGTGCTGATTTTACCACCTTTCATAAAAGTCTTGATTGCTCAGTCATCCATGGCAGTTACATAATGATATAAGTATCATTTGATGGAGAATAAACTAGGCCTTATACTGCAGCCTTTAAATTGTTTAAAAATTGCTCAGAATTCTGGTATCCTGGCTTTGAAGTTGGGTATACTTTTTTTGTGGACGCCCTGTATTGTAGGTCCATTGCACACTTGTTTGATGTGTTCCTAAAGTTGTTAAAATTGTACCACGAGGTTTGAGGATTAATTGTACAAATGTTAAACATGATCAGGGTATTGTAACAAACCGCTGCTCCATAGGCGCTCAAGGTACAAATTGTTCCATCAGTTTTAAAGGTGTGTCAAACGGCTTTATCAGCTTTGAGTATTGTACAAATTGTTTCATAGGTTTTGTGAACAGTAACATTTGTTATTTAGCTAGATGTCTGATCCAGGAGAACTGTAGAAGATATAATGCTATCATGGTGAAGTCTAAAATGTTCCTGTGGCTACTTGAGACACTTTTAGATTTGCTGCCCTGGGCTGAAAATAATGAAGCAACAATATAATAAAGGCATTGACCGGGGCATTGACATGCAAAATTTTACCATGTGCCATTTGATACAAACGCCGAACATCGTCAACAAAAAGGTTAGAGACCATAACACTTGTGGTGGTGACAGTAAGATCCATTTTCCTTCAATAGGACTGATGAACAACTATCCAAAATTACTGATTTTTATTGAGGTATTTATGTTCCTATACTGTAGTAATCTCATAAGCTAAATAAATTAGCTAATGTCCATTGAGAAATATGGCATATTTTGCAGTTCTCCAAGGTCTGTTCTCGTACCATTTTTTTGATTAGAAACGTATAAGATAAGGATAAAACTATAACATACATCTTAGGCCTAGATGTAAATCAGTATAGTTTTACTTATTAAATATTTAACTATAATAGTTCTGTATGCTATCACACGTTTTACATTAAGACTGCATTTTTGTGTGCCTGCGGTGCTAGCGGATTACGTAATATTTGAATGGGATTTCGTATGAGCATGTAATTTGCAACGCATGGGTTCATTGTTCTTTTTCATGATACCCATGGGAGAAGCTTATTTAAATGTTATGCAATATACTTGCGCCGTGGGCAGTCCAAAAACGCAGTCTTAGTTTAAGAATTAAAGAAACTATTTATCCATACCAACTGGAATTTTGGTTGTGGTAGTAGTTCTGATTCGTGGACGCCTATGCCTGCCTGGCCGTTTCCCCTGGTGTCTAGTATTATGCTTTGGTTTAATTGTGGCACTTCGTATATCTTCAGTAAACTCTTCGTCAGATTGGGTAGTTGGCGTGGTGGCTGAAGGCCTGACTGAAATAAAACCTTTGATAAGCGGGTCATGGCGTGGTGGCTGAAGGTCTGACTGATATAAAAACGTTGATTATTGGCAATGGCCTTTGATGATTGGGTAGTTGACGTGGTGGCTGAAGGCCTTGCTGAAATAAAACCTTTCATAATTGGGTAGTTTGTGTGGTGGATGGAGGCCTGACTAAAATAAAACCTGTTGTTATAAGTAGTGGACGTGGCTGCTGAAGGCCAGGCTGAAATGAAACCTTTGATCTTTCATAATTAGTTAGTGGGAGTGGTTCCCGAAAGCCTGACTGAAATAAAACCTTTGATAATTACACTAGTTAGTGGGCGTGGTGGCTGAAGGCCTGACTGAAATAAAATCTTTGATAATTGGGTAGTGGGCGTGATGGTTGAACGCCTGACTGAAATAAAATCTTTGATAATTGGGTAGTGGGCGTGATGGTTGAACGCCAGACTGAAATAAAATCTTTGATAATTGGGTAGTGGGCGTGATGGTTGAACGCCTGACTGAAATAAAATCTTTGACAATTGGGTAGCGGGCGTGATGGTTGAAGGCCTGATTGAAATGAAACTTTTTTTACTTTTATTCAAATTCGTTAATATTTTACTTACGTCTACATATTCTACTATAGTGGTCAAATGTATTACTGGATATCAAGTCCTTGTCTTCTATGGAACCTTTTAAAATGTAACAGTCTTTGTATTCTGGATCGTAGCTAAACGACCTGCAAAATAAAGCATTTTACTCCATGATTGTGAAATTCCCTGCAATCTGATTGGTCCATGTGACTTAAATATATCTTGTATTTACATCTGTGATTCATGCATTTAGACCATCGCTTTTGTTACATTGACGTAAGTCGTCAAAATAACATACATTGGTAATATAAAGGACTTTCGTCAATGTAACAAAAGCGAGGGGCTTAATATATTATGAATTGCTACTTCATTTACAAAACAAATTCTAAATCGAAGAGACTTCTTAAAACAAGAATTTATTTTCTAGCTTTGTGCCAAATTATAATCTGCAACATGACTTATAAGTAGGTTTAAATCGAGAAAACAAAGAAATCGTAACCAGGAAGTTCATCCATTTTTTTACATTGACGTTCCGCCAAAGTAACTAGTTATGGAACAGTGATTATTGGAAGCTAGCAACTTACCTGCATAAGAACTCGGTGTAGTTGACACATAGGTCCTTACAATAGGATAGGAAGGTGTGTTTGAAGAGTGCGTATTCGTCTTCATCCTCCAAATAATGACGAGGATGCTTAATAAATGTCTCCGCACACTCTGTAAATACACGTAGTATAAAATGTTAAAATACTCCGTAGATACACGATGTAAAGTATGTAGAAATACGATATAGACACTGTAGTAAAGCATGTATATTGTTCGTAAAAGTACATTGTAAATGCATACATTAATACGTGTTAGAATACTTTGTAGACATACGATCAAGCAAAGCATGTTAAAGTACACTCTGTAAAAACCTGCAATAAAACATGTTAGAATACTCTGTAGACACACGAAGTATTTAAGCATGTAAAAGTAGTACACTCTGTAAAAACATGGAATAAAACATGTAAACATACTCTGTAGACACACGAGGTAAAGCATGTAAAAGTACACTCTGTAAAAACATGTAGTAAAACATGTAAATACTCTGTTAGCACACGAAGTGTTCAAGCATGTAAAATACACTCTTTATAGGTTATATACATGCAGCAGAGAGTGACAGTTGAACATGTGAAAAGTGCACGTTTGACACACGAGGTAAAGCACGCAAAATACACTCTGTAAAACATGTGAAAATACACCACAATACACATAAGTACACTTTAAAACACAAACAGTAAAACAAAACATGTTGAATACACCTTGGACACATATCACGAAGCATGTAAACGTACACTATGTAAGCAAACACAGAAAAACATGTGAAAACATGTAAAAGACAAATGAAGTAGAACATGTAAAAAACACTCTACTAATGCATCTCATAAAACATGTACAGTAAAATACGTTGTACAAGGTGGACACAAAAAGTAAAGCATGTACAAGTGAAATATCTTATAATTATCTATAATATAATGGACACGCAAGGTAAGGCCCTTATAAAAGCACACTCTGTGAACACATTTACAGTGTAACAATTGCCAATAACGAGGATATTATGTTTTAATTAAGAGTGATTTATTAAAATAAATTTGTTCGGTAGAATTTCTTCGCAGGCAAAGCATGACTTTTAGCTCAAATAATTTCAGGGAGTGACATAACAAATTTCCATTACATGACATGACATTTTCATATTAAGACGAATGTGATTTAAATGTTATAGGCTATACTGTCGCTTGGAGTTTATGTCACTACTGATTAATAATAGGAGTTTCCAATGTCATATATTAGCTAACTAGTTTAGTTTATCCCACATCATTTCAGAATAAATGCTCTATCCTGTATGAATACTAGTGCCTACAACTATTTTTGATGTTGACAGAGTATTGGTTATCAATTTAAAATGTATTTTTGTTTTGTAATGACCCCAGTTTAAGTGAAATGCCCATTGGTATTGCAGTATTTGATTGTGATAATGGTGGTTAAATGGTGGGAGAGGGGGTATAAGAAATTGTTTCTTTTTACGTTGGTTAAAGGTATGAGATAGTTGGGATTTGTTTTTCTTATGACTCGTGTACCCTTAGATGCTTTCTTTTTATTGCTGTGTAATAGTTTTCTAACAATATCAAAGTGTTCTTGAAAAGTAAGGTTCAAACCCTAATGATATATCCCAGTACAATGGTGAACATTCTCAGAAATGAGTATCGTCATCCTATAAGGTTCAGTTCAGTTGTTTTTTTCAGTTCAGTCATATAATAAGTTGATTCAGTCGTATCTACCTGTATGGATATGACACAAAGTCAGTTGCTAACGAAATTAGACACTGACACACTACAATGCTGCTGTCTCAAAACACAACTTCCATTTCGTTAGTCCTTGGTATGAACTCTCTAGGACGTCTAATAAAGGAGCTGGTATCACACTATAGCGCAGCGATATTCGACCCAACATTAACATGCCTACATATGTTCCCTAATAATTTTTATTATAACCGTTTAATATACTTCCGGCTTTTAGGCTGAATTATGCCTGCCATTAACAGAAGTCAAAAAATTACCAAAAAATAAGATCCCAATTTTTCACAATTTGGAGTACACAATGCAAAAAAATAATACAAAATGATTCTAAATATATGATTTAGGTTTCTAAGCTATAAGTTTGAGGTTATTTTTCTTATCAATACCAAAACATTATGTAATCAATGTATCGTCGTTTTTTATTGTTTCTCAGGTATTAATAAGTTAAATGCTACAAATGAATCACTTTTATATTAGAATGACAAATGCTTCAATTATTGCTAGTTTTTCACAAAATAGGTCTCGATACGTTTTGAGATATGGACTTTTATTCCGCGGTGAACATTATCAATAAAGGAGGGCCTATTGCTTGTCCTTGACTAAAATTCTATTTCTTGTAGTTAGATATAGCTCAGTTGCTTATAAAACAACCATCAAGACTTGATCGAATTCATGAATAATTGAGAAAAATCGTTATCATTATCTTCCTAAAATTTGATTATATTCAGCGGTAAGGTCAAAGAAGAAACAACCATCAGAAAACTTGACGATAGCCAGCAGTAACGTCGAGGAAGAATTGTAAGGCGTTCGATTACATATGACTCTAATTGATTATTAGACATGCCCTTAGAATATATGAACATTCCAATACCTCTGTAACATTTAATTAGATATAAATCTTACCTATTTGTTATTGTACTATGTTTTATAAAACATGAACAATAATTTGTTGTTTGACGCCTTGCGATTATATGAAAAATTCTAGTAATAAGATGTTTTAAATGGTAGGAAAACTAATATGTTCCCAATCATAAATTACCTAAATATTCCACACAATTTTGTTGAATCTGCTTGGCTCATATTTGAAAACTCAAACAAAATCTGAAAATCACACTTGCGTAATTACACTAATTAAACACCGACATCTACAGCAAAATTATAGTATATTTTTTAGATTATGATAATCTATTTTCTGTTCGTACGCTTAGACTAACAGTCTGTGTCTTATAAAATGTATAAAAGTTAGAAGCAAAATATTAACGTTTTTAGACCCCTGGTGATGAAAGACATTTTTCGACCCGAAAGCCGGAAGTTTTTTCAGCAGATTGTATTTTAAAAGAATCAAGGCATATGCACCTCCATAAATATTGCTTCAAATGTTGCTGCGCTACAGTGTTATCCTTCATATTTGGAAGTCATACCATGGATTACATGGTCGAATTTAGCGTTCAATCTAGAAACGGTAAGCATCATATGCATAGTGTCGGTTCAATAAAGGCCCTAAGGTAGTCAGTGATCAGTATGCTCAAAACAACCCATGTCTCATGATCAGTATAGGACACGGGTCTCATTTGACGAACATTAATTTGAGCTCAGGGCAAAATCGAAAACAAAAGGACGCAAATCCATTAGATCAATTTGTAATCTAGCTATGTTACATCAAATATGAAAAATGACACCGGAATGGTTTCCGTCTAATGCATTCCTGGTAATAATGCGACGGGAATCATACTCCAAGGACATATATTTATTTGGTGGATTATCTCAGCTCCTATTAATTATTTACTAAATAGCATTTATGATAATATTAGTACCCAGGTTTCGTAAAAGTGAAAATGGCGCAATTTTGATTGGATGTTTGTGAACATGCAGTAAAATTTAGCACACCATTGGGTAACTTTTGAATACAATTAGATGATGCTAAAATAAATGATGGGATAGTTCCTAGTATTATGGGAGAGGCCACATTTAGTGACAAGGAGAGACTTTGTTCTAATTGAATGATACCTTGGAATAAAATCGTTGATACCCAATCATAACTGAAAGCCAGAGATAGCATGAATCAAGGATGCATCAAATCAAATAAGATGCAAAATCCCTTGTTGTATCCATGGTGATCATGACGCGATATAGCAAGGGGATAATAGACTTGGTAATGTTACTCTTACCTCAGCCCAATTTGAAGAATATCAAGCTGTGTAATTATTTACTTGGGTACAGAAGACTCGAACCACGGCCTACCACCCCCAGTCAGATGGGATAGTAGATATTTTAAACATACATATGGTCATGATGAGTACTACTATAAAAGTTAGCTAAAAATGAAAAATGCCTGTGTGCATATTTCTAGGCTCCCGAGTATCAATAGTTTCATTATCAGAGTGATTTAGCATGTAATACGTATTGCAAGGAAACACTCGGGAGAAGCATTATTAATTCGCATTTTAACTCCATGTCTGCACGAAGCATGTTATGTTAAATGATATTATTGTTGTTCCGGTCGTAATTTATTTTTATCAATTTACTGAGTTGAAAACAGGAATCCACTCTTTACGTCTAAAGCAGATCTATTGAAATGTTCACATTGGCCAGAGACATATCGAGTGAGCGCAGGCCCAGTCATGACCAAAAAGGCCCACATTTTTTCTGGGGCCTTAGCCCCCCCCAGATCCGCCAGTGATATATATTTAGTATTCATCAGAGTACAGGATAGTTTTACATAGTGCCATATGTCTATGGCAGAGTGCATGTTATCTATGTTATCTAATATTCCGAAGCTTCTTTATTATATCAAAAGCAGCTAATAAGACAATATTTGCAATTTTACCCAATTTTATATTCCCATTTATTAGGAATAAAAGCTCTTATACAAATAATCAAGTTATCCCACTAGTGATTTATTAACCCTTTTGTGGTTTTAGTATCGTCTTATTGTGAATTGCTATTCTAGAATTTCACATTCAGCCAGTTTTGATTAGGTTCTATACTACGGAAAGCGAAAGGGGATATACCGCAGAATTTAAAATTCAATGGAGTTTTAACATGGGAGTGATAGCACACACCGCGGCCCAGTCAGATATATTTCTGCGCACTTTATTTATTTCATTTACTTTGCACAACGCGCCCCCTGTAATTCATTCAGTGCGCAATTAAAAATAGTTTATGAGTGATAACGCACACCGCGGCCCAGTAAGATCGAGCTGCGCACTTTATTTATTAACACACTCAAAATATCGCGCTGAAGCTTGTATATGCTGGCGCGATGTAATTATAGTTTTCTGTTGATAAATGCCCAACAAGAAACGGTAGCACAACGAATTCAACTTTTTTCGAAAGACTGCAGACTTGACCTGCGAAATTGTAATTTTGGATCACAGT